CCTATCCCCTCTCCTGCTGATGTTCAGGTGTATATCAGTATGTAGTGTCTCTACTTTAAAGAGTCCTCTCCTGCTGATGTTCAGGTGTATATCAGTATGTAGTGTCTCTACTGGGACATGTCTCCATGCTTTCATGTTCAAAAAGTTAATTCTGCTGACGAACAGCGAGAAAACATCAGAAATTAAACCAGCCTTTTGGGATTCCCATCTCCTTTTTAGTATTACTTATAACATCAACTCAAAGTCAACAAGCTCTCCAAAGTTTCAGACGTGATCAGAAGACACTCCGTTTAATATTAAACAATTAGGATTATTAAATGTACAGGAATATATAATGTGGCGGAGAGGAAGAAAGAGAGCCGTCCTCCGAGGCTTCGTATCTGAAACCATCTGGATGAGAGTCTGGCGGCGAAACGGCGACTCCCCGCGGACACTTCATCTGAAACTTTAATTAACGGAGAGAGTTTTCGAGCACGGCACGGTGAGTCCTTGGCTCACACACAACCTTCATACTCCGTAAACCTGACAGTGGGGCTGAGTTAGAAGAGGAACAAGAACTCAATGCACTGGAAAAAATGCTGCTCCAAAAAGAAGTTGAAAAATAGTGAAAACAAGCGGTTTTCACTTGAAATAAGTACACACATCTGCCAATAGAACAAGTGAACATCAGCTTGGTAAGATTTCTGAAAAAAAGAAAGGATATTTAGATTAATCATATCTTGTAATTAGCTGCGAGAACTTATGTTGAACTACCAGGATCAGGAAATGTTGTGTTACAGAATAAGCCAGAAATGCTCAAATGTATTGTTTTCTGGTGATTTTCCAATAAAAAAGTGTTTTCTCTAATCAAGTAAGATGTATTCCTTGAAACAAGAGGATCCATCTTTTATAAATACCACAGCAGCTTCAACAAGTTGTTTAATCTGAGATAAAACTCAAAATAAGATGTCTTCAACAGTTTGAACAAGATACTTAAGATGCCTTGTCTAAAAATAAGGCAATCTATATCTCACTGCATTATCTCTTATGTTAATATATCTTATATCAAGTGTTAGATGTATTCTGACTAGAAATTAAACAAATACACTTTGCAAGGTTTCAAGTCTTTACAGGGAGGTAACTACATAAAACCAAACGACAAAAAAAGACTTTGAAAAATCACGATAGAAATATGAATGTTGTTAAAAAACTAGTTTAACTACATAGTTAATTTTCACAGCAGACTGGAAATTACGTTGGCCCTGAAGTGCAAGACACCACAGCATTTCACAAAACACCACAGCATTTCACAAAACACCACAGCATTTCACATTGGACGGAAAGGGTATTCCTTAGGGAGAACACTTCTTGTTTGTGATTGGACAGAGCCAGCCAGAGAAGCACTGCTGTGATTGGTTGTTTTTGCTGCCAGTCAAGAAATGACACTTGGCCCAACACATCAGCTGTTAGCTGTTAGCACACACTCAGAGCTCACAGCTCCTCATATCTGTTCAGAAACTGGACAAAACCTAAAAATACAAAACACAGACTGTCTATGTCATGGCGAATACAGCTGCTGCTTTATTTATGTCTGTATGACGTTGTTGTGACTGTGGACGGAGCAGCTACAGGTTAGTTTAGCCTGATGGATCCAATCCCGATTTACATGGAGATACGCCCCGCCCCCTCTCCAGCGTCTTGTTTGAATGACAGCAGTAAACACAGAATTAATGCTTTATTAATTCATGGTTTTTAAGGGGCTTATCTCCATGTAAATACTATGGTAGACTACCCAATATTCGCATCGCTCTAATCGCTCGAGTTTCACCGCGGCTGTCAGCTGTGTTTGCTCCTGTCATTCAAACAAGAGACGCGCTGGAGAGGGGGCGGGGCGTATCTCCAAGTAAATCCTATGGGAGATACCAACTACAACCAACTATTTGACCTTGATGTAATTGTAATACACGTTTCAAAGTGATGCCGAAGTAACTACATACTGATAACGGTTAGTAAAAACCATGAATTAACGCTTTGACAAGTCTGCAGACAAGACGGCAGGCGAAAAGCTTTTAAAATGCTTGTTTTCTNAGACACATCATAGCTCACAGCTCATCCATATATTATCTGCCTCCTGAAGAACTGCCCTAAAGTCGTTTAGTCTAGCATCCGATCCTGGAAAACTTTGCAAGACCAAGTACTAACACAGTAGAACTCTTCGGTGACCGCGGCACCAAGTCACAGTCGAGAACGCTTCTTTATATCTCGTCGTAGAGCGGGAGTTTTTTCCGAACTTGAATCTGAGCTACGTCAATAACAAAGAGGTAATATTAGCCTGATCGATTCCGAATTATCGTATATCCGGCAGAAAACCGATTTTAAAAGCTTTTCACCTGCCGTCTGTCTGCATAGCACTAGATCATGCCTTTATATCATGCGCATTTTTACTAACTCGCTATCGCTATGTGTTACGTTGGCATTCATGTAGTATGATATCGTGTGTTTTCTCTGACTAAGATTGAGTCAGGTAAATATATCGCTTCACTCTCTTGTATGGCTATATCACACTGCGAGTGCAAGTCCGTGTCTAGTAGTATTATTGCTGGAAATATGAGTCGCACCACCCTTCTACCGCGCCGGACTGTCCGTATGAAATTGACAGGAGTAACACAAGGCTTCTGACAGCGCTTCGTTATACGTTCGACGATTGTAGAGCGAGCAAATAGTCAGGGCTGTAATCGCTCAGTGGTATTACTAACTACCTACTATAGCTAGAGTAATCAATAGAATCTCTCTGCATAGCTACGCAGTTGACTATTAAGGTGTATATTACAGCCTAATCAATAGTTTAAGGCGAGAAGATAGTCTTCTACCTGAAATTGTGATGAAGTAATTGCATGCTCTAATATGACTGTCGTGACTATGTAGTTAAGAAGGATATATATCGTTTATTACATATGACTGATGTTTATATCGTATAATGCATGATATGATGATGTATTGATATGACTGATGTTCTAGATATGTATAAGATGTAGAACTGACTATTTAAATTACATTGACAATTTAGCCTTGCCTACCGATTGAGAACACAATTGCCATAGTAGCCCTTTCAGCCCATTTGAGGCAAGGACTTGACACCATTGCACTTTTATTTTCTCTATTTCTGAACTGTTATTTGTTATTGATTTTCTCTGTTTTTGAACTAATGTTATTTTTTATAGATATATTGTTATATTGTTATAGAATGATACATTTGACAATTTAGGCATGGCCTACCATTTTATTGGAGCGATGAGGGACAGGTGGGGCTTGAAAAGGCCCACTTTGTCCAGTTTCTGAACAGATATGAGGAGCTGTGAGCTCTGAGTTTGTGCTAACGGCTAATGTGTTGGGACATATTGCGCTGTTGGGCGTTGACCAATCACGAAGCGTAATTTCTTGACTGGCAGCAAAAACAACCAATCACAGCAGTGCTTCTCTGGCTGGCTCTGTCCAATTACAAACAAGAAGTCTTCTCCCTAAAGGAATACCCTTTCCGTAAAAGTTGAAATGTTGAAGTGTTTTGTGAAATTCTGTGGTGTTTTCTGAAATGCTGTAGCGTTTTGTGAAATGCTGTTGTGTTTTCTGAAATGCTGTATTGTTTTGTGAAATGCTGTAGTGTTTTTTGAAATGTGGTTGTGTTTTATGAAATGCTGTAGTGTTTTGTGAAATGTTGTTTTGACTTGCACTTCCGGGCCACCGTAGATTAACCTTCTGCGGCGTTTTTATGCCCTTGAACACAACTTGTGATCACAAAAAAGCAAAGGTAAGACATCATTATCATCATGGCTACGTAAAGTGAAGTTGTTTTCTTGCTCTTTCCTGGCTGCTATAGTTCAGTGAGTTTTGGTCGTACAGTAATGAGACTTATACCAATGGAATCTGTGGAATCTCAGCTTTCATGTGATATGTTGTTTGTGCAGACAAAAGAAAAGATCGCTTTTGACAGTTATGTGCTAAAGTTAGCCCCGTTAGCCCGTTTCGCTAAGTGTTGATTTAGACTTGGTGTTGGACTTCTGTTCCGTGTATGTAAAAATGGTTGATATCGTCTGTTAGCTGAGTTTCTTCCCGTTAAGCGGGTATGCATCATTAATAGGTTGTTAAATGTTAAGATGGTGTTTCTTGCAAGATGTTGCGTCTCCCCCTGGGAGTCTCATAATAATAAGAGTGCTGTTAGGAGAGATGACGAGTGACATTCACGGTGGCCAATCATAGGGGTACTCAAACCGGATACGTCACACGGGATGAGGGTTCCCAACCAACCAGAATTGTTTAAATGAAGGAAGTAGAGTAATTCATATACCGATAGCAGCACCGTTTGTCCAGCGGCTTAACAGTATACCGATACCGTCCAATCAGCTACCGGTACTGACTAAGTACCGGTTCTCGATACCCATCCCTACTTGTAACAGAGTACTCCTGCTCTGTGGTAGTTCTACTTTTACTTAAGTACAAGATGTGAGTACTTCTCCCACCTCTGCATGTAATACTAATATTTGGCAGTTACCTACATTTACCTAAATGTGCCTTTCTTTAGTTTATAATTGGACTAATTTGTGCTCTCTTGTCCTCCAGGGATGTACTTTGTGCGTCATAACAGCCACCAGCTCAGCAGGATTTACCCATCAGGCCAGCGCCTCCAGTCCTCCAACTACAACCCTCAGGAGATGTGGAACGCAGGCTGTCAAATTGGTGAGAGCTGATTTAGTGTCCCAGGAGAAACAGAGTCAACAAGTCACACAATCTTAGTTCCTACTTTCCTCTCAAATGATTCAAAGCTTTATCGTCCTATGCACAGTAGCTACAGTGTACTTCTTGATATTGAAATCTAAAGTCCTCGGCTCCTACAACAATGCCATACAAATATATAAACAGGGTTGGGAGGGTTCATTGAAAAATGTAATCCGTTAAAATAACTAGTGACGTGTCAAAAAAAAGTATCAAAATATATATGTTGATAAGATAAGACCTAAGAGGTTTTTTACTTACGTGTATGTAACAATGTAACCTTAGAAAAGAAGAAAACCAAGATATTTCAAAATAAAAATGTTGTAACAGTAATAGTTTATAAATGCTGTTTAAGCTTTATACATGAATCCAAAGCATAGACATATTTTTGTTTAATAAATCAGGTGTCCACTACTGCATTAAAAAAATAAATGTATTTAAAAAGAGGAATTAAAGTATCCTGAATATAAACCATAAAGAAAATTCCTCCAACAATTTATCTATTAAAAAATTGGATACAAACTTTTTTTTGTATCCTGATGATGTAATCCATTACTCCCAAAACCTGTATATATAAATATAAGACAAGTAAAATAGTGAAAGAGACTGTTGCAGGTGACCTCAGTCTGATGGTGTGCCGCTAACACATCTGTGTGTGTTCTCCAGTTGCTTTGAATTTTCAGACCCCAGGTGAGCAGATGGACCTGAATCGGGGCCGCTTCCTGCAGAACAGTCAGTGTGGGTACATGTTGAAGCCCCCCTTCATGTGCCAGCCAGACACCAAATTCAACCCGGAGAACGTTGGGGGGGGTCCAGGCCACAGACCTGTGCTGCTCACTTTCCGGGTAGGGCTGCCAAACTGTCATTCTGTTCTGGACAGATAATGATGCTGCCTAGCATAAAACCACAATTCTTTTTATAAAATGTCCACAAGGCATAACAAAGGTTTTACGCTACAACTTAAAGAAGTGGATGAAAAATGACAATGTAAAGCAAAGTATAAGCATTTACAAATGAGACAATAGTTTGCACTGATACAAAACACACGATAGAAAACAAAGCAATGATACAACAACTGTGATCCCCCGGCATTCACTGCCAGTAAGCCTCATACACACAAATATTCACCGTTAATGTGATTAAATGCA